GCAGTTACAGTGCACAGGAGGAGCTGCTGGATGCTCCCACGTCCCCGAGGTTGTTCAATGTTACAACAAAGGCTGGGATGGCTATGATGTACAGGTAACTGTTTAAAACTTGTTAAACGCTTAATTAAATCCTCTTCGCTCAGACTTGGTAAATTCTAAAGGAGGGAAGCGGGATGAGATTAGTTTGCTTTTTTTTGTTTGTTGTGGTTTAACTCTAGCTGGGAGTGAAGAACCACATAGTTGCTTGCTCACTCCCCCCTTTTTCTAGTGAGATGGGGGAGGGGATCGAGGGGAAGGGAAGTAAAACTCGTGGGTTGTAATAAAGACAGCTTAATAGAACTGAAAAGGAAGGGAAAATAATAACAGTAACATGAGAATATACAAATGTACAATATAATTGCTCACCACCTGCTGAGGGATTTGCAGCCAATCCCCAAGTGGTCAGGTGTCCCAACCAACTCCTCCCGGTGCATATACTAGGCATGATGTCATATGGTATGGAGTGTCCCTTTGGCTTGTTTGTGTCATCTGTGTCATTGCTGCATCCTCTCCCATTTTTTTGTGCACTCCCAGCCTTAGTCGGCAGGACAGTATGAGAAGCTGAGAAGTCCTAAAGGTAAACGTGGCTTAGCAACAACTAAGACATCAGTGCGTTGTCAACATTCTCATCCTAAATCCGAAGCACGGTGCTATACCAGCTACTAGGAAGAAAGTAGCTTTATTCCATCTGAAACCAGGACATTAGTTAGACACTCTTCAACAAAACTTAACCTAAGTTCTTTTTTGGGGTTGGATTTTCTGAAACTACTATAGGTATATTTTTGAAATATCCCTGAAGGCTCTGGTATAAAAACACTTGATAAAAAAAACCTTCATTTGGTTTAATTAAATTGATGTTTGAGTTTTTAAAATCAAACTCTTTAAGAGTAACCAGAGGATGCTCTTGCTTTGGTATTGCTGCATGGATTTGCATTTTTTTTTAGAGTAGAAAGGGCTATAAAGATTTGCATCATTTCAACACTACCTTTTTTAAAAACTAAATGTCACTTACATGACTTCTCTTGCATGTTAGTGCATTAGTGCTAGTCAGTAAATAGTTGTGTATTTTTCTATTAACTATTATCTAGGCTTCTCCCAATAGATTAACCAGGAATCTGGGCTAAAAGTAATTGTTAAAACTGATACAGTATTTTAAAAGTACAGTCAAATTTGAATTGACAGATGGTACTGCTGTCCTGAACTATTAATTTAGAAACTATTTTTTTTCTTATTTTTTTTCCTCCAAAATGTGTCACTTGTAGTTAGAGGTGATACCTAAGTTCAGATACTTCAAGGAAATGTGAGTCTGAGGAATCAGCATATATTCAGCTGCAGAATCTGGTCGTTAAGTGTTGCATATGAGTGCCTAATCATGTCTGTCCCAACTTGTTTTGATTTTGGACACAAATGGAATCAGGTGCGCTGGATTTCAGGCTGCCCTATTATGTTTTTGCAGCTGTCATCCAGCTTGCAAGGTACAGGTTATTTTTGATAGTATTCCTGTAGCTAAAGAAGGGATATTTGAAAAACCTGTTCAGTGAAGAAAAGCAAAATCGTCTGTGTTCTGAAAGATAAGGTTTCCTTAACTTGGATGATTTTAAAAAATTTTCCTAGTTGACTTTGAATTCCTAGTCCTTTTCGAAATAAGAGATGCTAGGAATTTCCTATCCCGTGGCCTCTCAGATGATTAGTTAGCAATCACACCTTTATTTCAGAGCGTATTTGGGGAAGCAGACAGGTATTTTCATCTCTGGAGCAGGAAACTTTACTTTGTATTGTGTTTCTTTTTTCAGTGGCAGTGCAAAGCAGACTTGGAAAATACCTACCGTTTTGGACAAATTGAAGTGAGCTGCGAAGGCTACGATTATCCAGATGATCCTTACATCTTAAAAGGCTCCTGTAGTTTGCTGTTCAGGCTAGAGCTGACTGAGGAAGGTCAAAGGAGAGTGAAGAACTCTGGAAGCTTTGGCTCTGACTACTATCAGTCAAGAAAGGATTTTTCAGATTCTAGTGCTGGAGCTATTGTTGTAATTGTTCTTCTGGTTCTTGCTTTTGGAGTATACAAGCTCTTTCTTGGTAACCAGCAGCCTCAGCAGAGTTTTGGTGACAGCGATGGATTCACGAGACCTTCCTGGCAGAGTCAGTATGCACCTCCTCCTCCTCCTGGGTTTAAGCCCAGTTTCACAGGTAGGTCTCAAAGCTATTTATAGCACTCAAAAGAGCAAGCAGGGCTGTAGCATTTTATCTGCAGTAAGTGCAGTTGGGTTAGGCTTAAAAACAGTGCATTGGCAGCTGACTGTGACGAGCTGCTGCAGAGCCTGCAGTCAGCTTTGCATACTGTTTTGTTCAGAAGTGAAAATAAGAACTCAGTTTCCCACAGGCTTTCAGGGCAGGCCGTGCAGCAAGTTGCCCTTTGAACCTTTCAAAATCCATCTCCCCATGCTCTGCAAGTATTCTTTTCATACTCTGTGAAATAGAGAGGTTGTGGCAGGGAAGAATAATTTTTCATAAGTCATCTGGAGGAGAGAATAGTCTCATGCAGGCAGAAACAAACCTATGCCAAAGGAGCCCTTTGAAACTTTACAGAAGGGTCTTTCAGCCCTTAGGCTACCTGACTCCTGGTTTCATTCACAAAGCAGTTGATGGAGGGGAGTATCGGGTACCAGTCCTCTGTTTAATAGGTGCTTCAGTGTCCCTGCAGTTGAAAGCTTTGGTTGCCAGAGCAGAAAACGGTGTCTGTGAACTATTGTTGGAGGTGCAACACCTGAATCTCCTGTGGTGCCCTTTGTCTAAAGGTGGAAATTTTATCTGCTGCTAGGAAGGCTGTTTCTTCTTGGGTTTGGTTTTGGTTTTTTTCCCCATAGTGGCTATAGTGTCTAAGGGGAATAAACTTTATTCATCTGGTGTCTGACCAACTCATTTAACCCTGTGAACATGTGAAATGTTCACAGCACTGGAACTCAAATCCTGACGAATTGCATAATCTCCTTTATTTTTATTTTTTTCCGAGATGAACAAGGGATTCTATCAAGTAAATAAATAGCAAGGATGAAGTTTATTTAGTCAAAAGGTTGTAATTTAGTAATGCTTATTAATGCTGTCTTCTAGGTTTGCTCAAGTCGCTTGCTCAACAGAGGGTGCCAGTATAACTCTTTTGAATACCCCTAATGTGGGGCGTGTGCAGACGAAACTTTCAGACGTACCTACAGCAGAAAATTAAAGGGATTCTGCTTCTGTATTATTGGTGGCTTTGCAGATCGGTTTCCATGTAGTTATTTTAGACTTCAGACGGTCTGCGTATGCTGCGTGTGCATCCGTGACCTTGTGTGGGCGTTACAGTTGCCACCAGCGTTATTGTGGTAGTTGCTAATGGCCCTGGTCATAAGACAGGGCTCTGCTGTGCTGGGCACAGGCAGAACAGGGTGAAGAGATACTTCCTTTTTCTCTGGCCTGTTCCTTGTCAATTAATTGCACTGATGCATTTTTTCATTGCAGCAGTCTGAAATCTAGCAAGGCTAGAACCTTGAAAGTACATTTTCTTGACGATTACTGAAAATTGAGACACTAAAATGCACATTGGGAGCCCTGTAAGGCTTAGCTTAATGGCATTTTTAATAACAAGTGTAATTGATTTCTCCTTACATTTCAAATAGAGCAAAGGTGAAAATCTCTCAAATGTGGGGCCAGCTGAAAAATATTGTTATGGTATTTCATGCATTTAGTGTCTCCCATAAATTTTGACAGTGAAGCAGCAGCACTTCTCTGAGTGTAAATGTCCATGTGTTCCAGGAATGTCTTGGTGTTTTAAAATCTGGATGGTAATGAAAAGCATTATTGTTCACTGATTGCTGTTAATATTTAGTTCGCCTCATTTTAAATCCTCTTAATGCGGAATGTGTCCTGTGAAACTCGTTTAGCTAACCTATCTTAATTAAAGCGTACTTTCTCTCTGATAGTGGTATGACATGATCCTTAATGTTTACTCTAGATATTTCAGTAAAAAATGACTCAGTTTTCTGTGTCAATGTTCAGCTGTAGTGCTTCTGAAAACTGAGGTAGTTCATCTCCCTGGCTAACATTATTTTTACAGTAAATGAAGTGCTATTTTTTCATTCCAAATCGGTGTGGTTTAATGGGTGTATCATCCCAGTGAGAGTTTATCTATCTCCCAGTGCTTTCAAAATGAAATTCATCATCAAATCCAGACTGAAACTGATAATTTCTTTTTTGTAATCTTCCATTACTTCAAACAAGCAACACCATTTTTAAGACAAACTAGGCCGTGTGTAACTTCTAAATACAGTCTCTGGTCTACTTGTTTCATTGGGCATATTTCAGCGAAACCCTGATGTTATCTTCAGACCTTGCCCATGTTTGAGCCTGTGGTTGAGCTCATTCTTGTATCCATGTTTCTATGTAGACCAGAAAGTGATTGCGCTATGGTTCTGCATTTTCTCTTTTGTTTCTAAATGAACATTTGGTTCTGAGTCAGAACCTCATATTATGCAGGTCACATGTAAAGAACCTGTGACTCTCCTTCCCCCCTCCAACGACCCACTTGATAATGCTTGCGGTTTCATCAAGTTATTTGTCAAGCTTGGTGAGTCATGCATAATAAAAACTTTGCAATGTGATTACAGTTAGCATGTCTTTTGATAACAAATACCAGACTAGGATTACCAGAAACAATACAAAGTAATGTTAACCGTTAGACTGAGCCACTGTTACTCAAAACGTGTAGCTATTCTGACTGAGACTCACTGTTTGGCCCTTCATTTCTGTCCCTGTGACCACTTCTGGCCTACTGTGTGATCCTGAGCAGGTTCTTTCTTCATTTCCTTTTCTTTTTTACATCTAATTTGTCTGTTTATAAATCTGCAGGCAAGGATTCTTTGGCACGCTGTGCAAACATCAGGGCTGTGAGACTGAGTGGAAGCTAATTTTTAATGTAAAACTCTTTATATTGGTGTTTGTTTCTCATTTTTTCCCTGTTTTTCCTAATTGTGAGGCCTTTCAAGTTAAGCTTGATCAAGAATCTACTGAAATCAGGAGCAGTTTATAGTCCAGTTTTCCATTATCTTTAACAGGAGAGTTATTGCAACAGCTGGCCTGAGGATTAAGTACCAGTAACTGATATGTTTTCAATTTTCATTTTGTTTAAGAAGGTGACTTCTTTGGAACTCATTCCAGTCATGGAACCAATTCGGGACCAGGATTTTGGACCGGATTAGGAGCAGGAGGCTTGCTAGGCTACTTGGCTGGCAGTCACAGGTAAAATATGCATGCTAGCACGTTTTAGGTATTTAAGCTTTCAAGGGATATGCCATATATGTTTACGTGGTTTCAAAGGTTTCAGGCCTGTATCATTCAAGCTGTAAAATCCTACCTCTAGAATAAATTTGAAGAGCTGTCTGTAGCTCCAACAGCAAAAACATTTTGAACAAGTTTCTGGGGAAGAAGAATTGGGAGGACTGTGGTACTTGATTCCGCTTTAGCTGATTACTGCGACCAGGCATGATGGCCTGTGAATGTAAAATGAGCATTTAAACAATCTGTCTGCAGGCTGCCTTAAAACACAGATAATACCATTAAGCGTAAATCCGGCTATGGGTGAGTCTCTTGTATCTGTGTCGTCTCTCCTAAAGTCAGTCTAGATGATAGCTGCGCTTCTCTGATACTCAGTGTGGTCAGATTAAACAGCCTTTAATCTACAGTCTCCTGATGGCCCACGTGTGGGAATCCAAGACGTGGTTTTCCAAAGAACTTGTAGGTCCTGCCTAAGTTGCTTTTTGAAAAACCATAACACAAAAGCAGTTTCAGTGCTGGAGTAAACATCTGCTGGTCATATTTGTTAAACACTTTTAAACGTTTAAAATGCCTCATTTTTAAATTAAAGGTTTAAAGGGAGCAATTGATGCCATTTTAGATCTCACTAGAAAAAAAATATGTGGCTCCTGCAGGGAATCTTTAGAGCCCAAGCAGTTTCCTCTGTTTATAAAAAAAAAAGCAACATATGTGTAACTGTATCACGTCATATGTAACTGTAGGAATGTAGTTATATAGCAGATTAAGAATAACCACATATGGGGGAGCTTTTGTATTGAAGGTTTGGGAGTAAGGTCATGTGAACAGGGGTGTGTTAAAGCATCTTCCTCCATGGTAAAGTGTTTTTTAGGTAATGACAGAAGCCATATCAGGATTAACTGTTTATTATAGAACTAAAAGCTTGAGACACAAGAGAATCTCTAAAGTGTCCACTGTGCACTCTTGGTCTCAAAGAGTTGAGTAAGTTAGGGGGCTGGTTAGCTCAGTCAGTTAGAGCGTGGTGCTGATAACACCAAGGTCGCGGGTTCAATCCCCATTCGGTCCCCGTGTGTTGCCTGATCTAGTTGAGAGGCGTCCCTGCCCATGACAGGGAGGTTGGATTAAATGATCTCTAAGGTCCCTTCCAGTCTAGGCCATTCTATGATTCTATGATTCTAAGAAGCAACTGAGACAGTGCTGCTGTTAACAGTAGCAATTGTCTAAAATTCACTTTGAGTAGAGCTTTAGAGGTTGAAAGATCATATCTTGGATTCCATGATCTTGAAGGTCTTTTCCAAAGAAAATGATTCTATGATCTTGTTTTATGACATTAACCTCTTAAAGAATTCTTAAAAGGTGTGATATGTTAAAGGTTTTATTAACTTGGTATTTCTTAAGTCTTAAATACATGACCCTCGTGTTTAAGCATTGTATTTTTGTATTACCTACATTCAGGTTTGTTCCTTGATTTGCACACACACACACGGACGCACATTTCAGTAGCCACCTCTTATTGTTCAAGATTAGAGGCCTAACTGAATATTTAAGTCCAAATGCATAAGTAAGCTTCCTAACTTGGGCTTGTCTTATTTTTGAAATAGTCTTTCGTCTACTATTATTTACTTATTTTTCAATTGTTTGAAATTATGTGCATGAAAATGCTGGTGCCAGAAAGTGCAGCATAGTTATTTGTGAATTTCACCAGCAGGAAATTCAGTATGCATAGAAGTGAGTATTTTAAATCATTGAGTCAAAGGTCATGATATACTAGTCTTACTGATGATAACGTTTTCAAAATAGATAATAGAACAGAGGGATGTTTTCTTTTGTCTTAAGTGACTGGGATGTAGATGTTTCCAAAGTGCATTTAGGCTTCAGATGTCAAATCTACTTTCCTGTCTGACAGAATTTAAGGTCAGAATTTCAGAAGGAAAAGTTTCCTCATTTGCAACTGTTAGAATTGCTTATCCTGAAGAGTGAAGTTTAATTTCCTCTTGAAAGTCTAACTGTGACAACAGTGGATATCCTTGCTTTTTACCATGTTAAGTTAAATAGGGGTATTTCCAGCTTTGAAACAGCTGCCTGCGTACAGTTTTCCCGCAGAGATGCAGTCCCCTTGTTTGGAATGGTAACTTCTTAATTTTCTGGAAGGTCACTAAAGAAGCCTCATTTCTACTCTGTTTCTCATTAGAGCACAGCCACATTCCCCGTATTACAGCACGTGGACGGATTCCGCAGCTCCACCTCCAGTGAGCAGGCAGTCAAGCAATTCCACAGAAGCTAGCGGCTCGGGAACAAGAACAGCTTCTGGTAAGGCAAAGGACCTTTTAACCTCCTGAAGCTTGAGAGACTTTGACCTATCAAAAATGCACGGATGTTAGCTGAGGTTCAGCAAGCATTCTTTATTTTATTTTTCCAGTTGCTACAGGTGGGCATGTCACAGTGTTCCTTGTTTCTGTTTCCTAAGGAAGTAGGGCAGTGTTGTGGGGCATGAAACTCCCCACAGGCCCACAGTGTGGGCATGGGAACACCCACTGGTGGTTGGTGGCTTTGTACTGGTGGGTTCGCCTTCATCTGCAAGGTGTGTTAGTTTAAGGCTTTTCCCTTTGGTTTGTGCTCCACATGCCCTTCTCTAGCAAATAGGTACAAACATGATTTCTTTGTAGAAAGCAAGTTGTCTAGTCTGCAAAAACAGAATATTGTTCAGGCCAGCCAGCCCACAGTCCCTTGCTGTTCTACTTTATGTCAATATGTTTAACTCTACTCTTTTTAGCCATTTTAGAACTAGAGAGCCCAGTGGAAAGGCTGTGACAGAGCTGACACTTCTTTTTCTTTTCAGGCTTTGGAGGCACAAAACGAAGATGAAGTCGTTGACGTTACCATGTTCAAGAGATTGAACTAAATCTTCCTGTGTACCCATACTTTTTTGGTTTTGAGTAGTAGGCTTCAGAAGTGTATGTGAGAAGAGATGAGAAAGATTAGTAAAGAACTCCTCTCTTGCCCTGTGGAAATGTGGACCCTCGCTCTCGTTTAAGGTATCACTGGTGGTGAAACATCCCCTATTTCAAAACTGCAGCTTCTCATAAGATGCAGAATAAACTCATTCAAGCTAAGAAGAAGGATATTACAATGCTTTATGTCAATCAGTACTTGAGGGATTACGGCTCTGGTAGTCTTAACAGATTTTCAAAGCAAGTAGTTTACTCATGTTCTGGGCCTAATGTCTTTGAATCCAGAATTTCTGAGTTTATTTTTTATCTTGGTCATCCAGTATCTGAAAGGCCTAATGTGTAATACACCTGGAATCTAAGGGGTTCTGCTCTTTGAAGCTACTTCTGTTTGTCTTTGTAAAATTCATGTGAATGTTGCTGTAAATGCAGTCAGCTACTCAGATGATTGTTGGGGTTTTTCCTAAGTGGAGAAGAGCAAATCTGTATATGTGTAGAGAATAACATTAATACAATGTTTCTATCTGTGTTATGTGACTGTTGGAGCCAAAATTTTCAGACTTCAAGGATACTCTGTGTTTTAGGGTTTATCCAAGTGGCTGTGCAAACCTGGGGGATTTCCTGTATCAATTACTAAAAAAATATATAACCTCAAATGAGACAAGGTGCTCCTTCTCCAGCATGGACCTCTTTCTGTCAGACTGAGGTAATTTAAATTCAGGTTGCCCATGACGAGGCTCCAGATTTTCTTTTTACAGTGGATGTTAACAATTCTGTGAAAACTTCTGATGTGTACGGTCTGTCCTGCTATGTGTCCAGGATGCAGCAAACCAAAGGTGCTCGTTGTGAGAGGAAAAGGAGCAATCTTTTTAAAACAAAAGTGCTGTCAAAGAGTAGAAAGCAGAGTCTTTGCTTTGTTCTATAGTGATATTTTGGGGCTCTGAGGAATGTCATATAGTTATTGTGTGGTTGACTGTGCCCTGGGAGAGCATCGCTGAAACAAAAAACACTGAGAAATTTCTCAGGATTAAGCAGGGGACAGGAGAGAGGAAGAGTGAAAAATGGGCTGCTTGACCACCAGGTCTTCTCCAGAGCCCACCTTAATACACCTTGGAACGTGTGTGTGTGTGCAGCTTTTCTGTGCTGGCAGCAGTCTGAGGAGCATAGCTTTCATCCTTGTGAGAATACTATGTCTGGGAATTGATGTAAACTATTAGAGCAAAAGCAAAGCACTGTTCTGCTGATACAGGTTGCATCTCTACAAGGAGATGTAGCACGTATGGTGAGCCTAGAAAAGCAGCTTTGGTGTTACTTGTTAACACACAACCGTGTCCATTCATGAGTACAGAAATAATTGGCTCAAATGATAATGCCCAAGTTCAATTCCTGACTTAAGCAACCCTCCAAAAAAAAAAAACCACACCAAAAAACCCCCCATGGAAATATTTAACAAATCAACAGAAACTGTAACTGTAGAGCTTGCACTGAAAATCTGAGAATCATGATAAAATTGGTGAGGATAAAATATTGTTTTGCTGCCCAGAGCTGCTTGAGGGCTGAGGAAAAATATGTTTATTAACAACCTGCTCTATCAGCCTAGAAAGCGAAATGGCAAAGACATTACTTTTGGCCTATTAGAAGGGTTTGCCCTTTATGAGGTAAAGCATATGGTAGATAGTCATCTTTTTGATGAAATATAGCAAAATAACATATTTTAAATGTGGAGTTTTACCTTATTTCTAAGTGTATTCAGGTTGAAACTTGTTGCAGTCAATACTCACTTTGCCAGCTAATTACATAACAGTGAAACTGGATTTTTGTTAACTGGGTAGTTTGAAGCTGAAGTTTGCTCTCAAATTATGTGTTAAGAAGTGTTTTGGACAATGTTTTCATTTGTATTTATAATTTCTGCATGAAATGTGATTTGATGCCTAAACCTGGTGAATGACCATAGTTTCTGAATCTGTTTGTAGGATATTTTTGCCCTTCCCTTTGATAAAATAACTAAGTGAATATGGCCTATTTTTGTCTTTAAAGCACTATCTTGAGGCCTGCAGGGATGGCACTCTTTGGTTTTCAGAGTTGGCTGTCTCTCATCATCTACATGCCGTATGGTGTATTAACAACCTTTACCCCCAGCTGTAGAACTGGTAAGCTGCATATTGTTTCAGCAAAATAAAACTATATTGGGAATAGAGTTTTATTGACTGGATTTTCAATAACAAAATACTGAACCAGGTAAGAAAGTTAAGGATTTGTTGTAAATCAAAGTTTCACATCCAAGTCTGCAGAAAAGCTCCGTTATGCTGGTGAGTTCTTGGCTTTTTACAAGGGGATTAACCGAACTTTTCAGAAGTTATAATCACTGCTGCTATTCCCGGTCATGGATATAGCAGAACTGTATCCTAGGGTAGCAGCCTATGGATCTGCTGCTTATACTGAGAATGTGTCACTGCTGAACAGAGACATGGCCTATAGACAGAGGCATTTCAGCTTCTGGGCAGTAGTAAAGTAGGGTTAAATGGAGACCTGCACATTCTGATACCAAAGTTTCCTTAATCAAAGATCAAGGATGTTGATGAGGCTCCTTAATGAAAAGAACATGTGGAAATCAGCTTAGAGCTTGTACTTGTGACAGACATTGAGCTTCCTTCCTGAACATCTGATCTAGAAAGTCCTAGTCTTCCATCGGCTCCTGGATTTGGTCAGCATCTTCACAGCAGCTTCATAGTTGCTAGGCGTATGTAAATGCTTAAACTGTTAAATGCTGTTGTAGGGTAATTGCAGTTCTACTTGGCACTTGGGACTAGTTCTGCCCATACTCTGAGGTGGCTTACATCCTCACACAAAGCTAAAGCTCATTATAGGAATGAAACTCCTGGTTTTGGTTTTACAGCTGACTTCCCCTGAAGCATATGATGAAAGAAAAAAAAACGTAGAGATAAGCTTTCTCTGTGCCACTGTCTTGTGACTCAGCTCCCAGCTCAGATCTTGTTTAGTTCTGCAGACTGTCATGCAATGCAACCTACATACCTTGCATCCGAAGATAACAGTATTAGACTTATCAGCAAGGCAAGATGATATGTTGTTGTTTTAAAATTAAAAAGTCTTCTGTGATCATCACTTTCCATCATTAAGTTCCAAAAGGGAAATTAAGCTAGGCATAATTTCCTGCACCAGGAGTTGTTGCACAGAAATTGCTGGAATAAAGTGGCAAGCAATTCCTGCCTGCACAGCCGTCTGAAAGCTGAAAATGCAGTATGCGTATGCAGACTGTTGTCCACTTCACATCAAATACAAGTGTTGTATTTTTCCCTCCTTTGTAAAACGTATTGGTATTGGTTCTTAGTATTTTCAGAGTATGTATCAACCAGTGATAGCCCAGCTGTCTCCAAACTACAGTATATGAGCAAAACCTCAAAAATGAAAAGAAGAATCTTGTGGAGATGCGCTCTGCACCAACAAACCATGCTGATGTCTCATGTTATGTGTAAGGAAACATATTGTCAGGTCCCTTGTTTTCCTTCCATACCTAGTGAAGCAGTTCAGGCTTAAGTGCTGTGTGAGAGAGGCTCCATTTGTGCTGAAACCTTCCTCTGGAAGAGCAAGAGAATCAGCTGCAATGTTGTGTCTGACTACAGTAGTTTTCACATTCTGACATCTCTGTTTCTATTGCAGCTGTGTTTTGCCACTGCTGATGAAGATAATTGACTCTTTTTATTTGGCCTGTATTTCTTCTCTCCCACTGTCTTCTGTCTTGTAGTTCCCTCTGTTCCTGATTTCTTCAGTAGGGAAGTGACAAGGGCTTGCAAAAAGTACATTGAACTGGGAATGGCTGAATGATTGAGATGAAGTCAAGGGAGCAAGCTCTCAGCCTGCGAATTGACCTTTGTGGGCAGTATGTCTGCAAAAAGAGCTGGTTTTGGCCTTCTGTCAGAGAAGCATTTTTGCCAAGGGTACTATATCGGTGGCTGGAGCAGGTTAAGAACTAGTGAATGGCAGCATGGAGAAGCTGGAAACATCCTCTCCATCTGACCTTAGGAATGACCGAGATTTGCATCACCAAGAAGGTGGCCTAGGATGTGCTAGCTCAGCCACTCCACAGGCGTGCTGTTGCAAATCCTGTAGGCAGGTGTATGTTTAAAGATAGCAGACGCTTCTGCAAATGCCACGATACTAGTGTCAAGCACAAGAAAAAGGAACTTGGTCCTGCACCGATGTTTCTTTCTCACTTCAGCGTGTCTTGGAATGAACCGAGAAGGCCAGAAATGAAAAGAGCAGTGAGGAGGCATGATGAAGGGTAGCGATGCCGTGAAAAGGCCGAAATCAGAACTTAATAGCCTTGATGTCTGTTAAGCAGGTATTCTTTATTGCAGCGCTGGGCACACCTGGGATAGCTCCACCTAGTGTGTGCCCCGAGAAAGGCCAGACGTACAGCTTTTATACTGGGCACACCTGGGATAGCTCCACCTAGTGTGTGCCCCGAGAAAGGCCAGACGTACAGCTTTTATACAGTTTAGATATACATATTCATGTGTTTCTGAGAACTCATTAACATGTTGCCGCCCACTCCCGCATGCATAATACAGTCTTTCGGTGGTCGTCAGGGTCTCTGGTGGTCGTTTTACTTTGTCATAGTAGTCTTCATCGGGCTGTCCTGTTGATGGGCTGGCCCTTGGGAGGCCTGAAGTATTCCATCTTTGAAGATAAGAGCATTCTGCCCTCGGGGATAAGCTCTGCTTGTGGAATACCTCTCACACCTCCATTGTCCCACTAATTCTGTTTGGTAAGAGCATCCTGAATCTTTTACATACCAGCTAAAACTACAGTTCTGGCTATAACTATGGTTCCAGCTAAAACCACGGCTTCAGTAGCAAATTTACACCTGCATTAGCCAAAGCCAGGCTTGCAGGTGGA